TGGTATCTTGCAAATTCTCTATAATGAACATGCAATAATTCTGAAATGCTATATGTCATTATTTAAAATTTTAAAAATAATATATGAAAGTGCAAAAAGAAGTTAAAAGTAACTAAAATTCCTAATTCTCAAGTTTAGACAATGTCTAATGTGTTCACAATCCTACACCTTTTCCATTCACTTGCTAAAAAAGCATTTGTTAAACAGATGTGTTATTGCCACCTTCACATCCTTATTTCTGAGACTGTATATTAAAGGATTTATCATGGGAGTGATCACCCCATAGAACATGGATATAAGTTTGTCAGTAGCATCCAAGGTATCTGAATTAAGTGTCTCTTTAGACTTGGGCTTCATGTACATGAAGAGAATGGTTCCATAGAATATTATCACCACAGTCAGATGGGCTGAGCAGGTAGAGAAGACTTTGCTTCTCCCCTCAGAAGAGCGAATTTTGAGGATGCTGAGAATAATTAATGTATAAGAAACAATGATTAACAACAGTGGTGTCAATATGAACAATGTCGTGGCCACAAGCATGATGAACTCATTGCCTGAGATGTCAGCACAGGCCAGCTTCATGACAGCCAGAATTTCACAGGAGAAATGATTGATGACGTTATTTCTACAGAAGGGCAACTGTACCACAAATGCAGTTTGTACTGTGGAGTTGACAAGCCCTGCAAACCAGGACGCAGCCGCCATGGGCACATAGGAATCCTTGCTCATGATGACAGAATATCTCAGAGGGTTGCAGATAGCCACATACCGGTCAAAGGCCATCATGCCCAGGAGCACACACTCTGTTGTCCCCATGGCCAAGCCAAGGAACATCTGCACTGCACAGCCAGAGAAGGAGATGGTCTTTCTTTCCGAGAGGAAGCTCACAAGCGTGGAGGGAATGGAGGTGGTGGTGTAGCAGATGTCCAAGAAGGAGAGGTTCCCCAGGAAGAAGTACATAGGGGTGTGAAGATGAGAGTCTAAGATGCTGATTAAAATAAGGGTGCCATTGCCCAGAAGGATGACCACATACATCATTAAGATTAGCACAAAAAAGAGTAGTTCAAGCTTTGGGTAACCAGAAAGTCCCTTTAAAAAGAACTCCACCAGAACTGTTTGGTTTTCCCATTCCATTTTACTTCTCTCTTTTACCTGTAAGAATTCAAAATTTAAAAAATAGTTTCTTTACTATGGTAAGTCCAAGTTCATCAATGCACAAATATAGAAATTTGCCATGGACCCAATGAGAAGATAGAAGAAAGGAAAAAGGGAAGGGGAAGAAGAGAGAAAAGATAAGACAGTGAAAAAATAAACAATGCAGGAAGAGAAATACTAGGGAGAAACTATTGTATTGATCACTCTTTCTGAACTAGCAACTGTGCATGAGATTTTTCCCACACATTACCTCATTTCAACCCCACAACTTTTATCATTTTAAATATAATGAACTTATCTAAATTAAACTAAGAGAGTTTAAACCTAAAGTCATATAATTGATATGCAGCAAAACCTGAGCTGAAACTCAAGCCTGCTTGTAGTCCATAATTATCTGAGATTTAGACAGCCCATCTGCTGGGTCAGGAAGACTCAACAGTAAGCCACTGCATACTAAAACACTGAAAGAAATGTGTCAAACTGATAGGAGAATGGTCAGCAATAAACTTAACCAGTGTTTATTGACTGCTTGATTACCCAAAAAACAGGTGCAATTCATGTGAAACCTAATAATCTGAAATCTTCTTACAATGCAAATATCTTTTTCTTGGTGAGAAACAGAGTGACTTTTTAAATTTTATTTCTTTAATTATCATACAAGAAAATATAAAATACAATTGATTTTGTCTCTCTCAGCTTTTATTTCTGTGAATTTTAAACCATATATAGATTCGTGTAACTATCACAATAACCAGGACACAGAACTCCTATATCACCATAAAAACTCCCTTGGCACCTTCCCTTTTTAATCACTCCTTTCACCCACTCATAAATCCCGGTAAAGATGTATATGCTTTTCATCCCTGTAGTTTAACCTTTTCCAGAATGTCAAATAAAAGGAAAGTCATTAGTGTCTGGCTTCTTTCACTTAACATAAATCCTGTGAAATTTCTCCAAGTTCTTATTGCTGAGTTGTATTCCATTGTATTAACATACTACAGTTTATCTGTTTACCTGTTGAAAGACATTTGGGTTGTTTCCAGTTTGGGGCACTTATGAATAGGCTGTTATAAACATTTATGTCCAGAATTTTGTATGGACACAGATTTTCATTTTTCTAGGGTGAAGATCCCGCAATGGCGGCATACAGGATGATATGAGACGTGAATATTTAAGTTTATAAGGCACTCTAAAACAGTTTTCCAGAGTAGCTGCATCATTTTTGCATTCCAATGCAAAATGTATAAGAGTTCTAGTTGCTTCCCATCCTGATCAACACTTGATATTGTCAGTATACATATACATACACACATATTTTTACCCATTCCAATAGGTATGTAGTGATACCTCATGGTCAGTTTAACTTGCATTTCCCTAATGACTAATGTTTGGGGGGGTTGTCATCTTTATATTCTCTTTAGTAAAGTGTCATTCATGTCTTCTGGCCATTTTTCACTGGGTTATATTCTCATTGCTGAGTCTTGAGAATTCTTTATCTAGTCCAGCTACAAATCACTTATCAGATATATGACTTGCATATACTGTCTACAAGTCTGTGACTTTTTTACTCATTCTCTTAATGCAAACATCTTTAATTGCCATTTTAATTGGTTGTTGTTTAAGTCCAATTGAAGGAGACACAAAGAAAGACTATGACTAAAATGTATCTTCAAACAGTCTGAGAGGTGTTGACATCTCTGACTTTGAGTGATTCCTCAGGGAGATATCCACTGCCATCACCCAGGGAACACAATTAAGCTCTGCATCCAAAGACCTTGCCTCATAAAGTCTTAGGCCATTCTTTTTTTAATTTTTCCTCAGAAATAGCACCTCCCTCCCCCAATACACAGACACAAACATACACACACACAGTAATTTCCATTAATATCCTTGTTCATGGATACAGAATCCACTGAAAGTGCTCTAATTTATTTATAAAACAAACAGGCTCTTAACAAATAGACCATTTCTCCTTATTCATGAAACTTGGTGCAAAATTTAGGTCTGAACTGAAAACTCTGGACTTATTCAACAGCTTCTAATCACCTGTACCTGCCTTTGGCCACTATTAAGGTATTTCTTTCCTCATCTTATTTTTCCCTTATTTCAATCAACCCAATTTTTTATGCTTTTAGATTCTTTTATAACTTAAAGATGCATATTTCTTTTACTCTGAGTCCCAGATTCACCTTCTTAATGCTAGGTTATAAATGAAAGCACCCAAATCCCAATTCCTGGTAAATGATGACTGAGAAGCAGTTTCAATCTGTAAATTCATTATGTCTACTGGGAAGAACATCCTTTTTTTTTTTTCGGTATAAAGTTGAGATTTTTACTGACATGGAGACATGCTTTAATTGTTCTATAAAAACATTCTATAAACAATAGAAAACTTCTTATGTGAATTCACAGGATGTTAAAAAATATTACACCACAATAAATATAACTACACCCTCCACAACCACAATCACAGAGAGGAGTAGGCAGCTATCGAGTTTGGAGGGGAAGATGCTCTGAGATGGCCTTCACAGTGGACAGGCAGAAGCTCAAAGCACTATCCAGGAAGAGGGCCTGTGGCAAATGTGTGCTGCAGAAACAGCTACACAGGCCTCCACCTCCTGCTTTCCCAGCATCACCACTTTCCAACTTTATCCTAACTAGGGGCCCGCACCAAGTAAAAGCTATAGCTTCACCATGCTGCTCCACTCAGGCCTCACTGAAACCCTCTTGTCAGCGGACTGGATAATTGACAGGCCTTTGCCTTTATGAAGAACACATGGACATACACTCTACATGGTTTCTGTACGGATTAAGCCTGTTTCTAGCCAGCAATGACTACGGGGCTAGGGCCATTCATCCATATCTTCTCTGTTAACAGGGGCAGTTACTAGCTGTGGGACCTTGGGCAATTTATTTAGCTTTTGTTTCAATATTCTCACCTATAACATGAAGATTTTAAATAGTCTCATTGTGGTATTCTTGGGAGAATAAATTTTTTAATGCATGTAAAGCATCTAGCATTATGGTAAGCACTATTTTGGTTTCCTTCATCTTTCAACTGACTTGTTCTTTTCTCAAGATTTTTTACATTTCTGTCCTCAGTTTCACACTCCTATAGAAGTATCTTTAAATTTTTATCAGTCTGTTCAGATATCTGGTCTCTTCTTACCCAACCAACCTACTAATTTTCATCATATCCATGATATGACATTGATGTATATTATACCAAACTCCCCTTACTTTGTAATGAAGAATGTTATACCACTATAGCAAAGGCCAACATCATTTAAAACAAGGAACACACAGGTTAACATTTTTAAAGAAAGGCTATTTAAATTCATTCATTTACAAGTTAAATGAGTGTGTGTGTGTGTGTGTGTGTGTGTGTGTGTGTGTCTCACAAATGTCATGTCCAAATTTACCCTAGGAATGCACGACCACCAATAACAAAAATAATTAAAAGTTCTCAAAATAATTCCCAAAATACTCACACACACATAACTATAAAAGTCAAAATTCCTTCCTGTTAGCTATTCCTCTTCATCTCCTTTTCACACAAATCAAAAGATGTATTCAAGAACAAGTAATAAAGTTTTCCAAGTAACACCCCTAAGTCAGAGGCTCCAGGACAGAGACTGTCTGTCTGTTCATGATTAGCACCGGACAATCATTTATAAACTGAACCAAAGAAAACTGAATTGGTGCCATGGGTAAATTGCTACAGGTTCAGAACTTTGGTGACACCAGCCTACTTTATGTTCTGAATAAGGGTACAGATCTGCTGCCTATTTTACAGCAACCTCACTGGACCAGTAAGAAGTGACACCAATACACATGTAGGCACTTATACTGAACCATGGACCAGGAGACTATATTTTGACTAAATGAATCTTTATTCTCCAGAAAGATAAATTCTATAACTAAATATCTACCTTTATTGGATATTCAAATTACTTTGGATTTCAAATTACTCTTTTGGTCATATTTTTTCACTTTTCTCCTTTTTCATACTACATCCAAGAAAATATCATCTTAGAATTTTTAAAATGCCTATTCTCCATAGACTCTTCATAGTAAGAAATATTCTATCACCAAAACACATAGCTTATTTCAACTCAGTTCATTGAACTGATACCACCTTGGATCTGTATTATTTGTATGTTTTTAGCAATTACCTTAAATGGAAGGTCAACTTGCCTCTTAGGTTGCAACACACAGCAGATTGTTTTGCCTTGATCTTCTATTTGCAGCCTATTGTACAATATTTTCCATGGGGTTGATACATTTCTGAAGGTGTTACCAATGAGGAGCCACAATGTCATAGGACTTGTCTGAAAGACATTAATAGCAAAGGTACTATTTCAAAATTGTTTTAAAACCTTCCATACGTTACAGCCAAATATGATCATTTACAAAGGGAGATACTTGGTTCTGCTAGTTCAAAACTAAGAGGAAAATGAATATTTGAGAATAGGGAAGATTTCATTTGCCCTTCAAGCCCAGGTGGAAATATTGCTCCATTGTGAAGACTCAGGAAATTCTCAAAAGAATCTTCTCCAGGCTCAGAAAGGCAATTTAAATATTTCTTGCTCTCAGGGACTCAATACAATTTTCTAAGCCATAACTTTAAATTGCTTCGGGGAAAGATGTTTAAACTTTCAAAAACTTTGAGTAATGCCCTAAAGACTTAATTATATTGGATCCATTTCTGTATTTCAAATAACCAATCATAAGTCTTGAGAATGTGTCTTATCCCATGTGCAATCTATTATCATACACTGCTGGAATCTTTAATCTAAACATATTCTAATGGTTTTATCCAGAACTTTGTTCATCCCACTATATTTTATTGATAATATAGTAGAAATGCCTATTTCAGCTACATTAACTCTTGGTTATTAACAATAATAATAATAATAAATTTCTAGGCCCTGTTGTAAGAATTTTATATACATATATTAAGTTATTTAATTCAAATTTATTAAATTAGTGAGTAAAGAGAGAAAGGGTTTTATTATACCAAATAATCTAAAAATTATTATATTTGGCTCTGAAACTCAGAATTTATACATGCTATGTGATTATGAGTGGCATTTTGATATTCGCAACAAATTTGGAAGTTTTGAAACCATATAATGACAAAACTATAAACCATCAAGCTACTCAGTTTTCTTAACTGTAACTCTACAATGTAATTTGTAACTCAATCCCACTCCATACTACCCATTCCAAAGAATTTACCTAAATAGATACACCCAGATTAACTGACTGTCACCATCTATCTAATTTACACAATTAGGAGGTAATGGTGTATAAATATATTCGAGGTGCTCTCAGTCATTTTCTCCTTCTGCAGGCAGTGCTTGCCTTTCCTTGAACTGCTTCACCCATACAGTGCCCACAATTTATTCACCACAAAATCATTACCTTAGGTAAAACAAATTTTGACTAAAAGTCTGATGATAATGCAGAAAAAAATCCACAGGAAACTAGTTGAAACTGGGTATCCCACATCATTGTTTCTGAGGTTAACTGACTTGATCATATGGAACTACTTTCTGGACATTTTATGAGGCCCTGGTCTGCCGCCATGTGGTTAAGCTTCTTCCCCAAGCAGAGCTCTTTACCCATTTCTTCCTTTCTTCTCCCCAAGTCACAAGAGGTCCTCAAAAATCCTACATCCAACATTACTTAAGTGAAGTAACCAAATAAGTCACATCAGAACAATGTTTCAAGCAAATAGAATTATTTTACTTTTTTGGCAGAGAAATTTTAGTTACTTTTTTTAACATATCTCATAACAGATGTTTATTAAAAATATAAATCATTCTTCCCTGTCTCAGACTTTGTGTATCGCAACCTCAGGAAATGGAATACAGAAGCCTGCATTTTTAATAACTTACCAGTGTAGCTCAGCTGCTTTATGTGCTAGAAGAGGAATCCCACAAACTAATCTCACGGCTATTACCCTACTCCAGCTGGTGTTCACACAGCTGTTGGACCTCCTACCCCAATTATCACTTAATTTCTATTATATGGGACCCCTCAGTTAACACATATGCTATTTCTTTTTTTGGATTATTTCATGTATGAAAAAGAAAAAAAGGATAGGACCAGGTGGACAACTGAAATTGAGTTCATTCTGAGAGATTTTTCTGAGTACAAAGGAATTATACCAAAAAATTCCTTTTTGTCATGTCTTTAGTGATGTATCAATAATCCTCCTGGAGAACAGCATCTTAGTCATCTTAACCCTCCTAGAATCCCATCTCCAAATGTCATGTACCACTTTTTGGTTAGGTTTACCTTCCTGGATATATGGTACACATCCTCTTTTTTTTTTTTACCATTATTTAAAAAAAAAACTATCTCATTCACAGCTTGTATTATATAAATGTTTATCTCTTCATGTAATACGGTCCACAGAGTGTGTGTTCCTGACAGTGATGGCATATGGGTTCAACATGGCCAAGAGCAAATTTCTGAGATAACCCACCATCATAAACAGAATACTGTGTTTAGATGGCAGCTACCTCCTGGGAACTAGCAATTCTCAATGGACTGGCACAAAATGTACTCACATTATGAGCGTTCTTGGTGGTAAATATCATTAATCATTTTTGTGAAATATTAACTTTAAAAAAGTTGGCCTGCACAAATATCTTCTTGAATGAGAGTATAATAATGTTGGGTAATATAATATTTTCATTTGCTCCATTACTGCTACCTTGCCATACCGAGAATCAGTTCAGCTGAAGGAAGAAAAAGGCCCCTTCCACTTGCTCAGCCCACATAACAGTGGTTGATTGTGTCTTATGGGACATTCTTCTTCATGTACATGAAGGTAAAGTCCAAAGACATGACTTCTGACAAACTGATTACCCTGTTCTATGGAGTAGTCACCCACGATCAATCCTATCATCTATAGCCTAAGAAATAAGGAGGACCTTTCAGAAAATTATTGAGTAGACACTAGTTCTGGAGAAAATGATAAGAAACTGACATCTTTGAGTTCATGCACAAAACAAGCTCACATATTTTGAGGCAAGGGTTTTAAAGATAAACTGAACAAAATAAAATCATATGTAGAATCACAGAATTTCAGAGTTAGAAAGAAATTTCAAGATCACAAGTCTAACTATGTCACTTTCTGGAAACAACTGTGATCTCATAAAAATGTAGGGCTAAGTAGACTGAGAAATGCTAGTAAACTTATGGGGACAATTAAGCCTTTCCAAGAAAATCCATCACAAATAGCTATTTAATAAATAAAACATATACTTTTAATACTCTTTATTTTAAATACTTTTGATACATTTGTTTGCTTATGCTTTCTTTTTTTAACCCTGAGACTTCCCCTGGCCCCAGCCTACATTTTGAACAACGTATTTCACCTTCTTGTTTCCTGCCCACATTGTCCCCACTCTTTAGCACAAACTGTGCTTCACTCACTGTCTTTCTCACTTAAGGACAATAACACCTGCTATTTTCTCTGCATTGTTACATTTCTCCTTCTCTAGTGAAATCCTGGCAATAACAGAAGAAATAGGTCAAGTGTTACATCATCTGTAAAGTCTTCCCAAACTCCCCTGAGTTAGTTACTCCCTCCTCTATAGTACCCTGACCCTGAACTACCACAGCATTTTTTCTTTTATGCTATAACCATTTGTTAGCTCCTGAAATCTTCTCAATGGCACACTATTGCTTACTGTTCTCTTTAAGAAGTCCAATGCCAAGTTAATTAAAAACAGTGTGTAGTCATTAACTGATGAATTAATTAATTAAAATAAAAACAAATGGTAAAAAATATAAGTCCAAGTATCTGAAATTCCACATAGGAAAATAACAGAAATAGACTTTATAATTATCTCATTCCCCCAAACTACAATTTCAAATACTTTTGTAAAATAGCACTTAATCTTTAATTACAGGGGAAAACAAGGGAATATAAAGAACTGAGCAGAATATACTGAAGAGGTCACAAAAATTTCCCCTTTGAGTTACTAGTGAGTTATAATGCATAGTGGTGTTTCTTAAGATCTCATCATCCTTCTAATTTTATATTTCTGTTCTAATTCTGCACTATAAACTCAGGTTTTATTTTTAGGAGCAAATTTTAAATTAATTCCACATACATGTTGGTGATAAGAATGTTGTCAAAATTTCTTGGAAGATAAAGATTTTTTGTACTTATTTTGTTTTGTCACAAAAGAAATTCAGTTTGCAGCACAAACGGAAAGATTTCCCTGATTTAAAATCAAAATTCAGAATCAAAATTGTAATCCTCCTTCAGAGAAATGGCAGCATGACTAAGACAACCTTTTTCTTCACTTCTTAAGAATCCCTTATAGTTCTTCTCATCCTCCTGAAATATCTCTTAGTATACATAACTTATTTCACAAATGTATTCTAAAAGCAACATAAGAAATACAGATAGACAATGGACTTAAGTCTTGGCCACCATTTATGACCTGTATGACCTCTTACAAAAGCATCTGGAGCTAATCTGTAAGAGAAGGTAAAATGTATTATACTGGATCCCCAGCACCCAAACCAGGCACATACACAGTGTAGAATAAATGAGAGAAGTAATCGACACAGAAGTCAACACTTACATTAACACTATCATTATTAATTAATGAAAATAACCTTAAAAGATAATGTATACACACAACACCTAGCACACCACACAGCATACATTAAACATTAATAATACTGCCTTACCCATCTACTGACTTCCTCATTTGCTCTCTAGTTTTTGAAAATAAGGAAATTAAGTAAGGATTCCTGGGTGCCTGTATCTGAGTAAGACAGTGAGGGACAATCATATGCTGCACTTTCTACAATTATTAATTAATGAAAAGGAACTTTAAAAGAACATGTATAAGTTACCGAGTTACATTTTTACCTAGTACATTTTATGTACATATTATGTGTTACTTAAATACAACTTCTCATTCCATCACTTATCTACCTCAATTGTTCTCTGAGTTCTGGAAAATAAAGTAGTTAATCATGGATTCCTGGGCGGTTATATCTGAATAAGGTACAAAAAAGAGGAAGTACTAGCAGGAAGTGACAAAGAGGATGAGGTGGTTACAGGAAGTTAACTCTGGAGTTCAGCCTTCATTTTACCTGATCAAGGAAGGAATGGACTCTAAGGAGACTAGGGGTGGAATGAGACTAAAAAGCTAGATAGAAAAAAGAAAAATAATAAAATGTTATAGGCCCTTCTATGAGCCAGCTGTTTTCAAATAATGCCACATTTAATCCTTAATAGGACTATAATACATTCAAATCTGATTATTAAGTTATTCTTTATTGTTTAACC